AGATATAATTTACATGTTTGTGCATGCACACATACACACAAAACACACACAAAAAAAACACACACACACAAAATCATCATCATCATCATCATCATCATCATCATAATCACCATGACATCTTCCCAAAATTCTCTTTCACTGTTTTATGGGTTAGAATTTATTTTACCTTCCGAACTAGTTTCATAGTTTCATCATGTAAACATGGAATCCAATTTTGATCAGCTGTCTGCAGAGGAAAAAAAGGAGACCATTATATACACAATAAACAAGTTATTATCTATCACACCTTAAGGCCAATTTCTCACTAAAATGCCTTTGAAAACATATCGTTTAGTAAAAAATACTACTATCAGACCACTAACCCTTACCCTTTACTTTCACGGAACTCACTGGTGAAAAACAAGCACAAATAATTTCAAACAGGTAATTTTAGAAGAGCAATATACAGCATACAGAACATGGCAAAAAAAAAAAAAAATTCCAACTCAGAGGTATGCCAGATAAAATAGTACACTTGTTGAGAGGACTCGAGAAAGAACAGCCTTATGATCATGGAAGTTCATATACCATGAATAAATGATACTCATTGTAAGGTTATAATTCCAGTTTGGTTCATTTGCTTGCTTGTTTTGTTTTTGATTTGTTTTTTTGGTTTTTTTTTTTTTTTTTACAAAGGCCCAAGATATGGTCAAAGAATAAAACACAGGATGAAAACAGAAAAAAACAAATATGTTACTTAGGGTCAGATTTCAAAGGTTTTATACACAATATAGAGACAAAAATATGGATTTTAAACTAAGGGTAATCAAAGTCACTGAGGACAAGAACAAGTGTATAATAAAGAATACTTATCAAGGAATGTTGCAGAAGGCCCCAGTTTCAAATCAAAACAGTTAAAAATTTTTAAAATAAAAAATGGGAACTACAGTAATCAAATCTTTATTTGCATATGAATTTTTCTTTCCAAACAGTCCCAGAGGCACTTGGAATCATGATACTACCTCAGCTCTTAGAATGCTGAATTCACCAGATCCTTCATTTTGGAAAAATGGTTACACTGCTCTGTAAAGAATTGATGGCAAGTGTGGTTCCCAAACTTCAGCATGAATTATGATCACCAAGAGTGACTTTTAAATCAGATTTCACACTGGAGATATGGCTCAGTGGTAGACTGCTTACCTAACACACCAAAGACCCGGCATTGCAAAAACTAATGATAACAAAAATGCAAAAACACATATATCAGGATGCCAACACAAGAGTAGCTCTGTGTGTCTGGTATAGCAGACAAGTTTCCAGGAACTGATAAAGGTAATCATTAAAGCCACAGTTTGTGGGGTTTCAGAAGTGAATCAGTGGTTAGAAACAAGCATGACTCTTACAAAGGAGCAGGGTTCAGTTCCCAACACCAACATAGTGACTCATAATCACCTGTTACTCCAGGTCCAAGGGATCCAACACTCCCTTCTGACTTCTGTGGGCTCCTGTCATGTGCATGTGGTGCACATAAATACACAGAGGCACACAGAAATACACAGAAAGTATTTTAAATAAATAAAACCACTGTTGTTATTGTGCCAATGATTTTCACATTACCAAAAATAAACAATGATTCTCTACAGTTTTTAATTGGCCAGCAGCACTGACAACAGACACCAACCACCTTTATATCTCTGGCTTCTCCCACCCTCCTTTCTTTTTCACTTGTAGAACCATGTTTTTTTTTAAAGAAAACTATACATAAAAGCAAATAGGTGTAATACTGAACTGGAGTACAGTTGAATTGTACTATATGTAGCTACAAAGATAAAAGTGAAAAACAAAGTAAAATGAAAAGGGTAACTTACAGAAGAACCATATAAAATATCTGAATCCACTTTAAAAAAAAAAAATCAACAGTTTCAAAGATGAGCCTGTACTTACTCCAAATTCAGTCTGATAGCTTTCCAGACCAGTTCTACACAATCAACCAAACACATTCCTGGTATATTTCTTAGAATCATTACTACACAATGTAAAAAGTTATGTTTCTTTTTTGAACAAAGTACCTGCATGCTGAGATTTTGAAGGGATATACCAAATGAGAGTGGTTTGCCTTGATTTGTGATCTAAAGAAAAACAAAGTAAACTACTTAGATGGTTTATCAGTTGAACAAAAGTCACTTCATAGAAAAAGTCAAATACCTGAGAAGTATCTTATTTCAAATATTGAAAAACATTTTCAGAATAAGTTTTGTTCTATTTTCTCTAAAAACAAACTGCTAAATAATAATGTATTGATGATGGGGGGGGGGCTGGAGAGATGGTTCAGAGGTTAAAAGCACTGGCTGCTCTTTCAGAGGTCCTGATTTCAAGTCCCAGCAACGACATGGTGGCTCACAGCCACCTGTGAGATCTGGTGCCCTCTTCTGGTGTGCAGACATACATGAAAGCAGAATGCTGCACACACAATTAATTAATTAATTAATTTTAAAAAATGTATTAGTGTTGTATAAAATACTTTATTTGTAGAATGTTTTTAAATTTGTAAAAGCATTATAACTGATACAGTAATCTGTTTAAAATGGGAGTGAAACTGAGTTGTGTGTCACTGAGAAAGTCAGGTATCAAAGGCAAAGTGCAGCCCTATTTTGCTTTAATCTGAAACTTTGGACAATCCTTTACTCCAGGGAGACATTTGACTCTTATATGTAAGTGGCTCAGTATTGATAACTACTTTTCTCCTTAAGGACAAATAAGGCAAAATGTAAGGTCCCAGTCGCAGCACTAGATTAAACCCAAGCAAACACAGGAATTCAGCATCATCACCTGCACAGGCACAGTCCAGAAGGCCCTGACTCTTCCTGAGATGGACTGAAACTTAACTGAAATAGCCAATGCATTCCAGCACCAACTTTTGCCAGAAAGAAAAAAATATTCTATTTTTACATAAATTCTCTGGCAATGTGTTTAAAAATACCAACCCCTATGCACTTTAGACTATAAAATAACAGTAAATACTTTGGGCTCAAAGACCTACCGACTTTGAGCATTTTTTTTATAGACTTGGGCTTCCCATGTATATACTGGTTTTGGTTTTGTTTCAATCTCAGGCTCTTCTGTCATCTTTTAAGCAGTATCTGTAAGCTCTCTCACATCCACAGATGTTGAGTACCTCTCAAAGGTGTGGCAGCATTATTTCAACAAACTTGTATTATGGACATAACTTTATTTTAAAGGGGAAAAGGGATGCATACACTCAACGATTTATGTATATTTTCATTGTAAAAATCCAACCTTTTGTTAAGTTTTTAACTGTTAAAAAATAATTTTGAAGCTAAGGAGGCTCTTTAAAGGAGTTGTTTCTTCCAAGAACCAAGACCAAAACAGGTTAATGATGTAATTTTCTATGGCACATGTACTGGAATTGTGCCTTTTCTACAACACAGGAGTAGATGAATTTATCAGAAGTATGCTTTTTTAAAAGGATTCGATAACATTTAAAACAAATGGGATGGTTATCTTTAATTGTGAACTTGACAGAATATAGAATCACCTGAGCAGAGGGTCTCAATGAGGAACTGTTAAGATCAGGCTGACTTATGGGCATGTCAGGGAGGTGAGGTGTGTGTAAGGCGAATGAAAAGTCTTGATGATGCTAACTGATATGCAGAGGCCCAGCCCTCAGTGGGTGGCATCATTCCCTAGGTTTGGGTCCTGTGCTGTAAAAAGTGACAGAAGCAAGCTGAGAACAGACATGCACATTCATTCTTTCTCTACTTTGGCTGTGGATGAGAGTCTCTGCTTCACATTCCTACCCTGACTTTCTGCAATGATAGACTATGACCTGAATTATAGCCAGTAAACCATTTCTCCCTTAAAGATGTTTTTGTTGGGGTATTTTATCACAGCAATAGAAAAACCAAAACCTAGAACAGAAACTAATTACACATTTAAGAAAACAATACGCTACTGAAGAGCAAAAGTTAAGTTAGCTCTACTTATTCCTAAACCAGTATTCTTTCTTGGAGATTAAAAAAAAAAAAAATCTGTGAAATTCATTAACTCCCAAGACATTGCCTTCATAACCCAAAGGTTGAATAAGCAAAGTTTAACCAAGCACTCATTAAAAACGTAACAATAAAAGATCGTATGGTCTTCAGTTCTCTGTCATTCCATCTCCCAGTATTTACTAGGCTGGCCACTACAGAGCAAAATACATACATGAGGAAAAAATACTTACATCATCTTCATAACGAACATGGATATTGGAAATTTTCACTTGAAGGTTTTTTATGATTTGAGTAATTAATTTTTCTGTGAAAGTGTCCTGTTTCTCCTCTGGAGGATTTTCTAAAATTGCAAATAAACCTTTTTAAATTGAATGAAACACATACTCTATAAATATCTAATTTATAATATAAATATGTTAAAGTAACATATTGCCTTGATAAACAAAATGTATAATGTTTTAAATAAATCACTTGAGATTTCCAAAATCTCTCATAACAAATGATTTACAAAAGCAACTAAATGTACAATGTTTAAAAGCTAGTTTCTTGTCTCAGAAGATTAGAGTCAACGATGCTAAATTCATTGGGATTAAATTTTTTAACCTGATTATAAAAGCCAGAGGACAAGGGCATCTGCCATGAGGCAGTGTCTTCTATAAATGTCAAGATACTGCAGCTATAAAATTCTAACAATATGGTTACCTAAACAAAGCCTGCACAATGACACCATTAAACGTGTCAACATGGACAGGGGAAAATTCAGAAGGCCCTACCCCTAGATGAGGAGTTACAGACAATTAATGACTGGTAAGAAAGGGAGAATTGGTCTTTTCCAGGGACAAGCCTCATGAAAGGTTATCCAATCTCAAGGGGTCAGCCCTGAACATGTGTACCTCAGAGTAACACTAATTGCATTCAGCCTCTTGGATTTACACACACACACACACACACACACACACACACACACACACAGAATAATAATAATAATAATAATAATAATAATAATAATAATAAAGTGATCATGAATTTGAGAGGGAGTACAAGGAACATAAGAAGAGCTGAAGGAGGTCTGGAAATGTTTAAAGTCAATTTACTTGAAAATTTCATCCATGAACTGCATATCACTTCCATCCATTCTCTCAAAGCTTAAAAAAACACTCCCACAGCTCTCTTTTTCTGGCAGACTTTGCCTTCAAATCTGTAAGTAAAACTATAAGATAACTCCTTTGTCATCATCATCACGTGATTCCAACTACTGTTAAGGTAACCAATGACCCAGATATCAAGAATAAAGTAATAATCCTCATCTTAAACTGATATTCCATCAGGGTTTGGTATACTATTTGCTTCTTAATAGAGCCTCTTACCCATGAAACCATAAACTTCAATTTTCCTCTTATTATCTGACCATCCTTTTTAATAGTCTTTTGTGTGTCTTCTTCCTCTATTCAATCATTAGATGACAGGTTTCCTTAAAACTCAATCCTAGAATTGCTTCTTTTCTCATTCTATACTGTTGCTGCCGAGAACCTCATTCACATCCTAAAATATTTAACTACTACCCTAATGTTGAAAACTTTCACAACAATAATAAACAAAGGAAGAAGTACAATGCAGAGTGGGGAGATGAGACTCTGACACATTTAGTAAACAACCAAGTAGTCAATATGCCTGGGAGAAAATGCAATAGGATTCAGAGCCAGTTATAAAGGAGGGGAAATAGACAGCACTGCAATACAAGCTTTTAATCTATCTTGTTGAAGCACTTAAACTTCATCCAGTAATAAGGTGTCAGGTGTCACCAGTGAATTTTATACATGACTAAACATTCATATTTTGAAGCTAAGTACAAATAAAAAGTTCCCATTAAACATGGTTTATATTGGATGCATTACCTTTCCTCTGTAAGGCCTCATTAAAGAAAAAATAATGAATGTAAAAGAAAAAAACAAAAAAACAAACAAAAAACAAGCAAATCCCAAGGCCAGAAGAAGGTAAAAGACTTGGGGAAAAGCAACAAAAAGCAGGTGGCTTCAGTCACACTGAAGAAACTTAAATCCTAAACAACCCAGGATAGGGTTGTCAATCAATCATAAGAGTTTAAAACCAGGATTCTGAAAGATTCAGGGACCTGAAGTCACACAGAACAGAGACAGCAATCAAGGAGCATCCTTAACAGAAGAGGGGGATTGGCAACTGGTGTTTAAAACCACTGTGCTTTTCCAGAGGCCCCAAGTTCAATGCTCAAACCCACACATTGGCTCAAAACTGTAACTGTAGTTACAGAAGATCCAATGCTTCTGACATATGCAGGCAAATGGTGCACAAAAATACATGCAGACAAAATATTACTACACATAAAATATAAATTTAAAATTTATTGGTTTAATATCTGTATAGTAAGCAGTCAAATGTGTAGGACTCCACCCTTTCCCAGCCAGTGGCTAAGAAACTATCCCTTGTTGTTCAGCCTACTAAACATGTGTAAGAGTTTATCACAGGTAAAACAGACCTAACAGGCTCCAAAATCTGATAAACTGTATATGGGGAACAGGATGAGACTACACAAAAACAGAGGTAAGTAAAAGGCTTCCTAATGAAGTCACATCTGTATTCACTCACTAAGTAAAGAAGAAAGGTAAGGTTTTTAAAAATTTGTCAGGCAGGGTGGCACACACCTTTAATCCCAGCACTCAAGAGGCAAAGACAGGCAAATATACATGAGTTGTAGACTAGCCAGAGATATATAGTGAGACCATGTCTGTCTGTCTGTCTGTCTGTCTGTCTTGTCTGTCTCTCTCTCTCTTCTCCCCCTTCTCCCCCTTCCTCCCTCCCTCCCTCACTCCCTCCCATATACACACTTCCACTGATGATCAATGGGTTGTAATAATGAGCCATGTGACCTAGGCTGAAATGAAGCCAAAGGGGGGGTGCAGATTAAAGCAAATATTAACATATTAAAGGACTGAGTATATTCAAGATTAAATAATCAATATTAAGGGGGATACACAAAGGCAAAGGCTAGGAAGCTAAGAAGATGTACTTGATAAACTTGCTAATATTAAAAACTGACTTTACCTCACAAGAAACTACTATTTGCCTTAAATTTCTGCAAGGTAAAATTTCTGCACAAGTAACAAAGCACACAAACCACGTAATTTTCCTGGTAATAAGATGGTTTCCTACTTGTAACATAATCTCAGAGCCAGGGGTGGTGGCGCACGCCTTTAATCCCAACACTCGGGAAGCAGAGGCAGGAAGATCTCGGAGTTTGAGACCAGCCTGGTCGACAGAGCTAGTCCCAGAACAGCCAAGACTACACAAGGAAACATCATCTTGAAAAAAACATACAAAAAGTAAAAACAAAAAACCATAATCTTAGTACATCCAGTGGAAATGGAAAGCAATATTCTACTACAATATTTACATCCTTTATTAGCACTGTTTATTGATATTTTACCTTGATCAACTACTTTCTGTTTTGCTTCTTCTATTCTTTTTAGTTCCTGTTGCTTTGCTTCCATGAGATGCTTTTCTTCTTTGATAGGATCATATTTTATTCCTACAGAAAACATGAAAAAATTTCAATTACCTTAAATTTAAATATACTCATTCCAAAAATTAACCTTTAAATAATCAATAATCCAAACAAAATTTACTGAAATTTGAAACAAAAAAAGCAATTCAATTTGAACCTTAAAGTTCTAAATTATCTCCACCAAAAGTACTTGAAGTAAAAATATATAATGAAGATTTTTCTATCTAAAACTAAGAATAATTTAAATTATAAACTTTAAAATGACTTACTAGAAGAAGGCACTATGAGTAAATAGATTTCTTCCAAAACAGCTTCAACTGGTTGAGTATAAAGGTACTTCCATGGAATTTTAAGTTTAAGACTACCTACATTGAAATAATAAAGACAACAATATCATTCATTAAGCATACATCTACCAATCTACTTTCTATAACGCTTTAAAAGAAATCTTTGAAAGATCAGTAAATCAAGCAACAGTGTAAAGGAATCATACAGTCCTATAAAACTGACTGTACTTCTATATAACTCATTTAAAATGGGTACTTTTTCATTCAACAAATACATCAGGAAATATATTAAATAGTAAAAACACAATAAAAGGAACATACAAATATAATGTTAGAAAATGACAGGAACTATGTGAAAAATACAAATAACACCTTAGTTGGTTGATTGTCTAGTGAACTTTCTAGTAACTGAAAATTAACTTATTGCCCTTTAAAAAGGAAAAACAAAAGGCGGCAAACTTAAAAGAAAATGGGTCTATCTACTCTTTTTATATATGTGTACAAACATAAAATACTTGTTTTTATATAGTTTTGTTCGATGGTGCTGGAATCAAACCTGTGATGATTAATTCTCACGGTCAATGTGACAGGATTTAGAATCACCTATGAAACAAAGAGGTTTAACAGAAGAGGGAAGACCTATTGTAAAGGTGAGCAATACAACCACAGGGGCTGGAGTCCCACATTGAATAACAGAGAAAGAGAACTGGCACCAGCATCCTCTCTTTCCTTACTAAGTTGACAAGCCACCTCATTTTCCTGCTGCCATCCCTTTCCCATCACAATGAACTGCACCCTGAAATGGAACCAAATAAACCCTTTCTTCCTTCCTTCACTTGCTTGTATCAGGCGCTTTGTCATAGCAATGAAAAATGGAACAAGTGAAACTCTCTACCCTCTTGGTATAGTTTTAACTTTCTCTTGAATTGAGGTTACACTGACATCATACACTGAAATTCAATTATAATCAGTGTAAAACTTAAGTTACTTCTGGACAATGTCTAAAAGCAACATACAAGAAATTTATTATAAAATTGTTTTACAATATAAGATTATTCCACCCAACTATGTATTCCTCAGATTGTGTTATAGTAAAGAAGTAAATGAAGTCGGTATGAAAAATTCTTACACCATGGTTACAAGTCTTTAAAAAAAATTACCACTCCAAACTATCAGAAACATATAATAATTAAGATGTCAAAAGGAAAATACCTGGTGGTATTTTCTACTTCTTAATCATGCTAAACTATCGTTAGAGGGACAAGGCAGAATTTAGATTCTAGAAATGTCAAAATTTTCTGTGGAATATGGTATAATACCAACTATAAGTATAATATACGAAATTATAAAGACCATCATCACAGTACTTTTATGTAAGCTTTGAGAATGTCTGTTTCTCACAGCTTCAACAACACTATATAAATTCTACTATAGGAAGAGACAGAAAGGAAGAAACAAATACTCGATTTAAGACACTATTATGCTCTCAATCAACCTTTATGACATTTAAATAAATGCATAACAGCACAAACTAAGAATCCAAAGAGACTTTGTTAAACATGTTAAATTCTTAGTTTGTTTCTGTTCTACCAATACGTGAACTACTTTACGTTCACATTTTATTTAAATTCATACTTTAGGCCGGGCATTGGTGGCGCACGCCTTTAATCCCAGCACTCGGGAGGCAGAGGCAGACTGATCTCTGTGAGTTCGAGGCCAGCCTGGACTCCAAGATAGGCTCCAAAGCTACACAGAGAAACCCTGTCTGGAAAAACCAAAAAAAAAAAAAAAAAAACCTGGAACAATTTCTACAGCATAATTAAGGTTTCATTTGGTCCCTAGCTACAGTGTCCAGGTAACCCAAACCCTTTATGTTATGCATTTCGTACTTATCACTTAATAGCAAACATAACTAGTCAGAAACACAGAAACTAACATAGTTCCTTTAGGTCTGTTAGATGCTGTTTGATTCTGAACTCAACTTCAAGACCTACTGTTCAAGTAGTACATTAACCCACAATATTTTCAAGTTACACAACTAAGTTCTACATTAACAAAAACATACAAATATTATATTTTAAATTAATGCTACATTAGGAAGATCACATTACAGCATGCCCAACAATGACAACACTCCAGTGATAAATATGGCTTACCTATATGACCAACCTTAACTTTGAATGGTACATCCAGTTCACTCTATACAGAAAAGTAAATTTGTAAAAAAAAAAAAAAATTAATTAATCCATATAAAGTTCAACAATATAGATGATTACTTCCTAAAAACACTTATGGGTATTTTAATTACCTTGCATATTCTTTTTATCTCCTATATTCACTTAAATTTAGTGGTTTAATTACAAAAAGACTCTCTTTTCAAAGTAAATGGTTAAGCATATACTTATTACTAAACAGAAGAGCTTTTATAAAAATTAAGACTTCATTTCCCAAAATTGGCAGTCTACCAAATAATTTCAAAACTATTTTTCCTGATCTTTGGGAGAAAGAACAGTTTTTACAATAACCATTGCTGGGGAATGTAATAGCCAATAGTAAAAATAGGAAGTTGGGTCTCTGTATTATACCATATGTAAAACTCAACACAAATCGAAACTAAACAGAAAATCTAAAACTTTGTTTCAGAGCAGTGGTTCTCAGCCTGTGGGTCACAACCTCTTTGTGGGTTAACACCCTTTCACACGGGTCACCTAAAACCATTGGAGATATCACATATTTACATTATGATTCATAATATAAAATTACAGCTATGAAGCAGCAACAAAATAATTTTAGGGGGTCAGCGTGACATGAGGTGTTCGTATTAAAGGGTTGTATTATTAGGAAAGTTGAGAACCAATGGTTTAAAGAAAAACACAAGAAAAAAATCTTTATGATAGATATCATGGAAATGAAAACAAAACATAGGCAATGGAAAACACTGATACATCAAAGGACACGATCACAGATTAGCCATACATTGGAAGAGGAAAAATACTGTAAATCAAGTAGTTAATCAGGGGCCAGTATACAGAATAAATAAAGATCTCAAAATTTTCAATCAGACCAACAAAACCTAATTTTTAAAAATCCAAGCTGGAACCTGAAACTCCTTAAGATCCTCAGATCTCTGCCTCCTGAGTACTATGACTGAAGTCATGAGACACCAAGCCCAAACTTTTTTTTTTTTAAGGCAGGTTCACACTGTGATATCAGGTGTGAACCACCATGTTCAGTGAGAGAGAAAAAAACAAAACAAAAAATAGAATATGCCTTCACTATTAAAGTAGAAAGACAAAATAAGCTTTTCTCAAATTGGTTTTTAAATAGGACTTATAAGAAGACTGCAGTCAATTCCTTGCGATCAAAATAATATCTATTTGTGTTTAAGTGTGTGTGTGTATATATATATATATATATTATATTATATTCAAAGGAAGGTTTCTTGAAGAAATGGGTGCTAGGTGAACATTTAGTTCTTAGCCCTCCATGAGAAATATGAATATTGTTATCTTCAATAGGTTGTACCTTTTCTAGATCATTTGTCATTTTTTTTGCCTTTGTTTGTAGCCACATTAAAATATTTGGAGCAAATATATCTTTGCCTATAGAGTTAAGAATACTAAGATATGGGCTGGAGAAGATGGCTCAGCCATTAAAGGCTAGCCTCACAATCAAAAATATAAGAATACTGAGATATATTTGTAATTTCTAGTAGCCTCTCTGTATAGGTTATTTTATCACCTTTTCTACGTAGAGGTAGTAGATTTTAACTATTAGTGAATACATTCTTTGTCACAAGAAAATGGGGAACTGGTCAAATAATGCAGAATATTCAAATGATAAGCCATTCTGGATGATGTTGGTATCTTCACCAATACCTATTTGTGCTATGATAAAATGTCTATTTGACTTTACAATGTAAGAAAGAATAAATTATTTATATTGTGTAATGTATAGTCATTTTTAAGCCTTTATAGAGTTAACATTGTGATAAGTCCTTTAAGATAAATGATTTTTCCAGAAACGATTTTGTAGCAAAAACTATGGGCAACTTTTGCATTGTGATGTGTGAGTGGATGATGATATATTTGAGTTACTAGAAAACCATAAAATGTTCCCTAAGGAGAAAGTAGTATGATTCCACTAGAGATCAACATGAATTTCTATTTGACTCATTCTCACTCATTTAGGTTTTATATTGTGATGTCATTACTAATGTGTAATCTGGGGGGGTGAACAAAAAAAGAAAGGTTGTGGGTTAACAGGGACGTGGTTTTACATCAAGTTGACAAGAGGTCAGTTATGCTGGCTCGTGTTATATCAATTTGACACAAGCTAGAGTCATCTGAGAGAAGGCAACCCAAGTAGAATAAATACCTCCAAAAGATGGAGATATAGGCAATCCTGTAGAGCATTTTTTTAAATTAGTGATTAATGGGGGAGGGCCCAGCCTATTGTCATTAGTGCCATTCCTTAGCTGGTGGTCCTGGGTGCTATAAGAAAGTATGCTGAGTGGCCAGGCAGTGGTGGCACAGGCCTTTAATCCCAGCACTTATGAGGCAGAGGCAGGTGGATCTCTGAGAGTTTGAGGACAGCCTGGTCTACAGAGCTAGTTCCAGAACAGCTAGGGCTTTTACACAGAGAAATCCTGTTTTGAAAAAACAAAAAAAAAAAACAAAACAAAACAAAAAAAGTAGGCTGAGCAAGCCATGGGACCAATTCAGTAAGCATCATTCTTCCATGGCCCCTGCATCAGCTCCTGCCTCCAGGTTCCTGCCGTGACTTCCTTCAAAGATGAACAGAGATATGGAAGTGTAAGCCAAATAAACCCTTTCCTCACCAAAGTTGCTTTGGGTCATGGTGTTTCAACACAGCAATAGTAACCCTTACTGGGACACTCACAGATGAAGGAAACAATTAGGGAAAGAAAGCATTTCACCACATAAAATGCAGAGATAATCATAGATGATTTGTGTATTTATTTTTAATACATGATCAATATTGAATTCTTTGCATACAACAGAACACTCACTATTAGTACTTAAATATTCATGAGTTGCAACTCCATGTTACTTTAAAGACCAATTAAGCTAAATTTTGATGCATAGTCATTGTAAATGATTTCACATGTAACTAGCAAAATGCACTAAAATACCATGCTTTGTTGAAATGTACTAGAATTGAAAAAATAAATGCAAAAATAGTTGTGGAAATTGTCTATTATACTTTGTGAGTCTTATTTGTTTAGAACATAAAATTTCTTTTTTAAAAAAAAACTGTTCTAACTGAATAAGGCTAAATCAATACTGTAATTGAAAATATATTTTAAATCTTTGTCATGAATTTGCTTAAGTATTTGCAAGTTGTATCATTGTTGATTATGCAAAATTTTGTGGGTTGTTTTAAATAAATTTTATACTTCTATTTTGAAGAATAAAAGCAAGCTGGGTATGATGATTCATGCCTTTAATGTCTTTAAACTCAGCACATCTGGATACAGAAACAAGTACATGAGAAGATGTTTAACATCACTAGCTAGCTATTCAGGAAATAATAGTTATTTGGGAAATAAGTGCTGACCAAGAAAGACATTGAGATACTACTTCTTATCTATTAAAATGGCAGTTAATATGTAAAACAGAAAATAGTAATTTTTTGAAGATCTGGGAGATGTCAAAACATTAGAACTTGTTGGAGGGATACAAAGTGATTAAACAGCTGTAGAAAAAAAGAAAAGAAAAGAAAAGAAAGAAAACACCTTGGCTCACTCTGAAAAAGGCTACATGTATTAGAAAAACCAGAAATTTAGTCTTAAATATACACTCAACACCTGAAAGCAGGTTCTTAAATAGATATGTGAACATCAGTATCTATCGCAGCTCTATTTGAAAGAGCCCAAAGGTTGAAACAACCTAAATGCTCATCAAAAACCAGAGGGGAAAAAAAGGCTGAATGAAAACTCAAAAATGTGGTAAACATAGAGAATAATCAGTCATAAAAAGAAATGACACCATGGTACATGCTATGACATAGATGACCCAAGAAAACATTACACCAAGTGAAACAATATAGAAGAAATGTGCAAATACGACATGGTACCATTTGATGAAGTAATTTATGGGGATGGAAAAACAGGCTTAGAAAATTATTTGGTGAATACAGTGTCAGTGTACAGTGAAGAAAAATTCCCGAGGCCAATAGCTATTGTTGAATATGGACAGTGTTTCTCTTGGCAATATGAAATAGTTGTGGAAATAGATGCAGTAAGAGTTGCAAAAAATTGTGAATATAATTCATGTCATGGAATTTAATATACTAAAATGATGCTAAAAAATTAGACAAGAAGTTAAACACTACATATACTACCATATAGAAATAAATAAAATACAAATATTTTAAATAAGAAAAAACTACACTGTCAGTTTCTATCTTTAAGAATTTAGATCTACTTTGCCAAATTCACATTTTATGAAAATAACTTTCAAATTTTTTCTCAAAGATAATTTAAGGTGGCATATTAAATTAGAGATGAATGTATTAATTAAATACACTAATATAAATTTTCATAGGCAAGACCTACCAATGCATTTTCTTTAATTTGAAGATTCTTCAGGGCCACAGCTCCTTTAAAAAAGAAAGAAAACAATGTATTCAACTGTATTTAATTTTAAATTAAATATACTTTGTTTTAAATATGACAACAGAAAAATAATTGTCATAACATAAATTAGATTTTGCTTTTGCTAGCCCATGTTCATTCCTCTGTACAGTCTAAAAAGGTCTGACAGTCTAAAAAGGTCTGACAGGAGAATCTTTTGCCTACCACCAACCTAGATGAAAAACACTCCAGACTCCATGAAATTCAAGAGAAAATGGCAGAAAGCAATAAGAAAGGATGCTTAAGGCCCTCCTCTGTCCTCTGAGCTCACACACACCATGTCCCCACTAGTGTATCTATAAAATGTCTTATCTATAACTTTTGTTGTGTGATAAAAGCACATGTAATTGTCTCTGCTGGAATATGTTATTCTAGGCAACTAAAATCTGTGTTCCTAGGACATGGTCATTTATACTTGGCTAAGAACAAACTTATTTCTCTTTCAATTAAGAGCTGTATTTTATAAACTAACAGTTTTGAGGCCTGAAAATAAGGGCCCAAGGAAGGACAATCTGTTTTCACCAGACAAGTCACCTGGATTGGCAACAGGTACCTGTGCAAGCCTTTTGTGCCCAATCATTCAATCTGCTTGCTTAAGTGTATGTTGGTGAGTTCTTTCAGAGACCCAAACCTCCCCTTTGGTTATTTGATGGTCTACTGATCTGCTGAACTGGTGGCTGGACATCCTCTCAGAGTATTTGGATAAAGGATTACCTCTCCTTCCCTAGCATTTGACTGTTACTGTTAGATCTTTATTTTCTCTCTTCCCTACAACATGTAAGTCTGTTTTCTTCCTGTGTGTCATTGCACTCTCACCCATTCTATGAGGATACTGAATCTTCAAAAGGTACTTATTCCCTTTGCACAAGATGGTGGTGGTAAAACTACTCATGTAACACTACCTTGTCTTAACTCTATTTTGTGTCTTCCTAGATGCCCCTCAGCCTTCCACCCTGCAATGTCACATCCACCTTGGCAACATTTGGGGGAATGTCCATGACCCTCACCATGGTCCAGGTGTTTAATCAAAATAATGTTTGTGCAAGATAAAACATAGAGTTAAAATAACTAGGAGGAATGGTAAATCAAAATTAATTGCAGTGTAGTGTCTGAAGAATACTACTGAGCTCTGAAAGAAAACAGATGCTACTGGACTACTACTCTCACTATGTAAGCCCCCTCAAGTACTGATATACTTGTGGGTTTGTCTTTTAAAATACTGTAACTCTGAGCTTTGCAACCAAGAGACATTTTGAAGCTGTGAGCTATTCTTGGTCTGGCCATTATTAAAGGATTCTTATACTCTTAATTGGGTTAACTGTAGAGACAATAACTATCTCCCATGGATCATTTCATCGGTGTCAGGGATCTCCAAAGGATGTACAGTTAACTCACAGGAAGCCCAAGACAACAGACTCCACTCATAGTTTGGATGAAACTTTGCTGCCTCAGCCAGGTATATTCCCATAAATGTGCAGCATAAACTATATATGGAATGAAAGAAAACTTCTTCAGAGCTAAGTGGCACATAAATCTTACCCAAAACACAAACCTCTCCAGCTATCATAGATTACAGTTTCTGAGAAGAAAAAGTAAGAAAATAAATAAATAAATAGACACCAAAATTGAAAGTAGAAATTTGGAGGAGGAAAAAGTGCTGGATGGGTGGGTGGGGGGCAACAAAAACGAGCACACACCGTCTAGTACTTTAGCAGGTATTATATTTTATAATTATAGTAATTTAACCTGCAAGTTATTTAGAAAACATGAGGAATGTCTGATATGCCCAAACTTAATTTTTGTTTTGTTTTTGGTTGGCTTGTTTCTTTTCAAGCTAAACTAAAATCTTATGCAACAGAACTAAAGATTCTAAATGAGCAATCACTACAAACTGGAATTTAAGAACAACTAGGAAGAAATAATAACATTACTAGTTTACTTTGGATATTCTATTAAAAAGATTCTGAAGAACAGGAAATAAAAGTGTTTAAGACTTTGTCAGAACTAAAGATGAATCCTGTAGAATCTGTTCTCAATCCCTATTGACTTGTGTCTGCCCAACACCAACCACGCCTTCTCTACTTTCTTTATCCTGTTCTTCTATTTTCTAGTAATTCCAAAGTGAAACAAAAGGCTTTGTCCAAGGAAAAATGAAGGGCTTTAATGATAAAACCTATAGGGAAGTGGTCCTGTACTATCTGTACTCCCTGGACAAAAACTTGAGTTAAAGACTTCATAAGGTTTCTGAGTTGTGTCAGGACCTCTGTGTTTAACTAAGTAAGTTTTCTACCATCTCACTAACAAAAACAAAAACAAAAACAAAAAACAAAAACAAAAAACAAAAAAACACAGGATTTTCTGACTTTCATCAAAAAATTCTATTTATAAGCATGTCTCCATCTCTGTTATTTAGTTCTTAAAGCAGGAAAAGATACTACCCTACCTCTGCATACCTACCTTCACCCCCTTAAGCTTTGTTAATGATTAGGCTAGGCTTCCTGTCTTCAAAATTTAGTTTCTAAGAGTACACTCTAAATATAATTGTATGTCATTGTGCCTGCTTAGTTTAGCTGCTAGTTTCTTTGGATTATTTGACATTCTTAAGATTACAATATATAAAAGTTTCTACTTTAAGATGCAGAACCCCAACAAGAGTTTTTAGCCTAACCAAATTAAGCAGCTGTGATAGTTTAACCTTATCAACTTGACAGAACTGGACTACTGTGAGGAGATCCACCTGCATTCCATGTTGGTGGGATCACTCCCTGAACAGAGGGAGAAGTAAAAATGGTTTAACTCCACAGCTCTAGTTCTGTGTCAATTCCCACTTCACTCCGCATGGGCATCTCTTAAGGAGGGTGTTATTCCAGTCTATTTCATCTCCTTTCAACGCAACAGGAACAGAAAAAAAATCATGATCCTAAACCTGCTGCCATCATGTATTTCAGGAACAGCAAAGCCTCCCTATTATAAGGGGAATTGTTCATCAGGACAAGTCTGTATCTTCAGGCAGAAGTAACCATTCCACGACCCGATTGTCATTTCAAGCCACAAGGACTTCTTAGGACAACCTTGTAGAACCAGAACATAATACTTGAGACCAAATCTTGTCTAAGGCTGAGCCATCTCTCCTGCCCTGTTTTCATATTTTTAAGTTCTATGTTCATGCTGACCTCTGCACCTGTGATTGTTCCATGGACATGAATTCCATTCTTCACTTTAATGGTTATATTTTCATTAACTCAATTTCACAAAAATCTCATGAGTTTCATTCTAATGATGCAATCTCCCTTCTGTCATGAGTATATAGACTCCAACAACCAAAGACAACAAGCAAGGAGTAAGAATGGCTGCAAACACCTATTCCTGTAACTTGAGTTTTCTTCTCACCAGCCTGGTCCCAGAGTCATCAGTCCCCAAATGAATACATGACACTATAATAGTTATGAATACTGTTGACTGGTAACTAGAGCTTCTTATTGGCTATCTCTGTCTTAATTATTAACCCATAATTACTAATCTATGTATACCTACTAGTCCAGAGCTGTTACTCCTCTCACCTCCTACATCATGACTGACTCTGCCTACATTTCACAGAATCCTCTTTGTCTCCTGGTCCCACCTATTATCCTGCCTCATTGTTCACAGTGCTTTATTCATCAACCAATAAGAGAAACATATAGACAGAAGAACATTCCCCATCATACTCCAACAAATACAAATGAATTTTAATACTAAATCTATATCCTCTCCTATTGGGTTGACATCTTTCCTTGTGTTTTCTTTGCCTTGACATGGGAGAAAAACTGTCAGATAAAAGGGGGGCATGCCTACTAACTTACATAATCATGGAATTAATTTTAATTGACAAATGTTTAAAATGTTTGTAAAATCTAGCCTATTGAACAAAATTTTCATAGTACCTACAGTCTTCAATCTTCTACACTGGTGGTTATGAACAAATGGCACTTAAAAATGTCTGTAATTGTTAAAATAAAGATTTCAGGTTCCTTAACTGAAGCTCTTCTTATTAATCCTTCTAAATCTAAGATCTACCCCACTTGTAAAATATGTTTATTTTTTTATAAAATAACTACTAGGTATACTCTGAAACTAGACAAGGGGACTGGGGAGATAGCTCAATGGGGAAAGTGCTTTCTGTACAAGTATGAGGACTGTAGTTTGGTTCCCTAGAACCAACGAAAAAGCTAGGCAGGCTAAACCTGGAATCGCAGCACTTAGGAGACAAAAGGGTCTACAGAGCTAACTGATTAGTTATACTAGCCAGAATCAGCAATCTGCAAGCTCAATCAGAGATCCTGGCCCAGGAACAATCAATAAAGCATCAACTTCCACCTTTCAGGTACACTCACATAAACAAGTATGCCGAGAGAACACAGAGAGAAGGGGGGGAGGAGAGAGAAAGATTGCTACATATACTTTTTTTGTCAAGAGGTTTCTCTGTGTAACCACACAGAGATCTGGCTCTGGCTCTGTAGACCAGGCTGGCCTTGGTCTTGAACTCACCAAGATCCACCTGCTTCTGCCTTCCAAGTGCTGGAATTAAAAGTGCATGTAAGCTGCTGGGCAGTGGTGGCACACACCTTTAATTCCAGCACTCGGGAGGCAGAGGCAGGGGGATCTCTGTGAGTTCGAGGCCAGCCTGGTCTCCAGAGTAAGTGCCAGGATAGGCTCCAAAACTACACAGAGAAAAACCAAAAAAAAAAAAAAAAAAGCTTTATACTATTACTAATCTCATTAATCATGTTTTTGTTATGACAAATGTCTTAACCAGTCCTACTTTGCTTGAATGCAATCTTTCTATTTAAAGATATCCCAATTATTTAATACTACCACAAAAAGATTGTCATATTTAGTGTAATTTGAGTTTTAAATCCAGTTATCAGATTGACAGAGACTGACTTTAAGATTTTAAATCTTTCAAAAGGAATTATATTGAGGGGAG